GCCCAGTTCCTTGGAAGGGACGCGCGAAGCTTGCTGAGGCCCTCTGGGGGGCAGTCGTCCGCAGTCTTGGGCCACCTCGCGGCATCTTGGAGCTGTCTTGAGTCGCCGATACATTACCTCAAAACGGACACGTGCTTTTCGGACGTTTGCGAGCAGTTACTTTGCGAGTAGTGGATCTTGGAGCTGTCTTGAGTCGCCGATACATTACCTCAAAACGGACACGTGCTTTTCGGACGTTTGCGAGCAGTTACTTTGCGAGTAGTGGAACGAGCTTGTCTATTGAGAGCCTCTTGACGCTGGCCACCCTTTGATCCTTTCCCTCGTGTGTTCCCGCCCCGGAAGCGCTCGAGGAGCGCTCCAGAGGGCCCTGGGACCGCGCCCAGGAGCGAGACCATCTGTGACCCGGTCTTGCAGCGGGGTCCTCAGAGGTTTCCCAGAGGCCAGGCGGGCCTTCGCCAGGGGCAGTCTTCTCTGGGGCCCAGGGTCGGGCCGGACGAAAGGGGGGGACAGGGAAAGGGGGGATCACGAAATCTGCTGCATGCAGCGGGTTTCGGCCCCGCCGAGGGGCCGATTCCTCGATACATGGCCGCCTCCCGGCGCCGGGAGGCGCCGGGAAAATCAGCTACGTGAGCTGATTCTCAAACCCCCCCCCCCCTTTGCTATCCCCCCCTTGCGCCCGGCCCGACGGGGGCCGCCACGCGCGCGCGAGTTGGTGTTGTGCAGCACGTACTCTGAACCTCTCACCACAGGTTCTGGCACGCCTTTAGCCCAATGGGCCAGCGGATTGCATGCGAAGGTCATCGCCAAGGATCGCAAAGGCATCTGGAGCCTCGTGGCGGAGATGCGGGGAGCTGGGGTCAAGGCGAACTCGGTGACCTGCTCCATCTTGCTGAAGTCCCTGACAGAGTATTCCAGCGAGGCAGAGGTCAAGCGGGTTACCGACCTGATCGAGGAGATCGAGGAGAGCATCGACGAGGTCCTGTTCTCCTCGGTCATCGAGGCCTGCCTGCGCATCAAGCAGCTCGCTCTTCTGACGAACATCATGCGCCGCCACAGGCAAAAGGGCGGCTTCGTGAACCTGACGGCCCCCACCTACGGTTCGATGATCAAGGCGTACGGGCAGGCGGGCGACGTGGCGCGGGTGCGCGAGCTGTGGCAGGAGATGGAGGAAAGGGGCGTGAAGCCGACGTCGATCACGCTCGGCTGCATGACAGAGGCGCTGGTGGTGAACGGCGAGGCGGAGGAAGCTTTTCAGTTGCTGCACCAGCAGCTCGACACGGAGGAGCGGAAAGCCAGCATCAACACCGTTATCTATTCTACAGTCTTGAAGGGTTTCGCAGTCGCCAAGAACATCAATAAGGTCTTCGCCGTGTACAAGGAGATGAGGCAGAGCGGGTACGCTTGCAATACCATCACCTACAACACCATGCTCGACGCGTGCGCCAAGTGTTGTGCCATGTCGAGGGCCCCCAGCCTGCTGGAAGACATGAAGGGTTCATGCGTGGAGCCAGATATCATCACCTATTCGACCATCGTCAAGGGCTACTGCCTGGAGGGGGATGTCGATCGTGCCTTCCATGTCCTGGAGGACATGAAGAGCGACGGCAAGTTCGCTGCGGACGAAATCATGTACAATTCCATCCTCGACGGCTGCGCGAAGCAGCACCGCGTCGACGACGCGCTCCGAATCCTGGAGGAGATGAAGACCGCTGGCGTGGGCCCCTCGAACTACACGCTCAGCATCCTGGTGAAGCTGCTCGGGCATGCGCGCCGCCTGCCTCAGGCGCGCGTTCTTTCTTCCTCCTCCTCCTCCTCCTCCTCCTCCTCCTCCTCCTTCTCCTCCTCCTCCTCCGCCTCCTCCCCTCCTCCTCCCCCCCCTCCCCCCCCCCCCCCCACACACACACACACACACACACACACACACACACACACACACACACACACACACACACACACACACACACACACACACACACACACACACACACACACACACACACACACACACACACTCCGTCGCCATTTCAAGAGCGCTTGGCCGAAGAGGCGTGCAGGCGAGTCCCGACTTGCGTGAGGTTCAGATTTCTCTTCGGGCCTCGTCCCCCCCCCTCCCGACTTGCAAGCAGACTTGCTAGAATCCAAACAACAATTGCCTCCAGGCGTTCCGGCTAGTGGAGGACCTGAGCAAGCAGCACGGCTTCCGGCCCAACGTCCAGGTCTACACCTGCCTTGTCCAGGCTTGCGTCCTCAACCGGCGGCTCGAGAAGGCGCTCGCGCTGCACGACGAGATGGTGGCGGACTCCGGGTGCCGCGTCGACGAGAAGTTCTACGCGGTGCTCGCGCGCGGGTGCCTCCAGATGCAGCAGCCGATGAAGGCCGCGGAGGTCGTGAGGGCGGCCTACCGTCTGGAGGGGCACAGCCTGGCGTCGCCCGCGAGGAAGAACGCCCCAACGGTCGTGGAAGGAGCAAAGCAGCATATCAGGAGGGGAAAAACACAGACACAAGTAATCATCGATCCCCCGGAAAATATGGGAAGGGGGGGAAGACACAAACCCGGAAAATGTGGGAAAATATTGGGAGTATTGTTATTTGCGTGTATTTATTTATTTGTGTGTCCCAGAGCCCCTTCAGCATAAACATGAATTTTCGGCGCTCCGCGCGGAGTTCTTGGATCGGGACTGGAACCGCCCTCTCTGGCGCGCTGAACGCGCTAGGGGCGTCGCTCGAGGCGCCGCCAGGGGGGTCGAGGGAGGGGGGTCCGGTGCTGATCCAGGAAATCCGCGCGGAACTCCAAGTGGTCCTGTTTGTGCCGCTCCCTCTTGCTTCAGGTCGGCGTCGAGGCGCGCACGCTCGAGGAAGTGGCCGGCAGGCTGCAGGAGGGCGGCGCCGAGGAGCGCGAGGCCTTCGAGCGGTTGTCGGCGGACCTGTGGGACAAGTGCGGGGTTCAGCTGACCGGCCGCGGCGGCGGCGGCCGCCGCGGCGGCGGCGGCGGCGGTGGCGCCGGGCGCCGCCCAGGCGGAGGCCGTCGGCAGTGAGCGGAGGACGACGGCTGCACGCCGACGCCAGCCCTTCCTGGGCCCGCCGCGGGCCGGGATCCGGCGCGCACGGCCCTCGGGCCGAGGGCGAGGAGGGCATGTACACCTCAGAGGAGGAAAAGGTACCCATACCTCGACCCCTCGCTCGCTTTCCCCTTTAGTGGCCCTCCTAGCGGCTCTCGTCACCACCGCTGGATTCGCCTCGAGATCCTGGTCAGATCGCACCCCGGGGAGGTCCGGGGAGTAGCGGTATCGGTACCTTTTGCTCTTTCCGACACCCTGCAGGTCAGCCACGCGCAGAGGGGGGTATGGGGCGGGGAAGGCTTCTTAGAAGCACCCCTGCTTCTTAGAAGGCGCGGGCCTTGTCTGTAGATGTAAGGCCGGCGCCGTCTGAGAAGCAGCCTCTTTCTAAGAAGCCCGCCCTCCTGCCCCTGCCCCCCTCTGCGCGCCGCCAAGCAGGGTCCACTACGATCTGATCGATCCGAATCGATCCCGATTCTGGCCGGCTCGTTCAAATTCGGTTCTGATGTTTGCATCGCGCTGTGGTGCATCTTGGCGCGGTCGATTCGAGTCGATTCCGATGCCGATGCAGACCGACCCAGTTTCCCGGTTCGATGCTCACCTATCTTGCCATGAGACTTGGGCGTTGCATTTTTCCCACCAGGCGTTTCGAAGGGTTTTGGGCCCTGGGACCATCACAGGTTGATCTGGCTCGAAAAATGCAGCACAGAGGTGCGGTCAAGGGCCCTTGCCGTGATTGCAACGTCGGATCTCAGACCAGACACCGATCATGGGCCCACGGGCGGCCTGGCCAGCATCGGTGCGGGTGTACAGATGCCGTCCTCCTACGTGAGTTCGAAGTTTTCGGATGCAACTCCTGGGAGGTCAAATTCTGATTTTGCCCTGGTCCGAAATCCAGCCGAATCCGACTTAATCCTGATTGATCCGGCTTCATCCCGCTAATTCCTGCAATCCGGCCCAATCCCGCTTAATCCAAGGCCCACTAACAGCCCCCCAATGGGGCGCACTCCTCCTTAATCCTTCCGACGAAGACCTCCCAGCAGTTGCCTCCTAAGAAGTTGGCGTTCCGCTGAGCACCGGCGGGCGGCCCCGGCCCCCTATACATGCGGCCCCTTCTTCGGGCACTCGCGCGCGGGCACGCGCCAGCACTGAGAACAGCACGGGCGAAGCGAAGTCTTTGCAGCGCAACAAAGGAAGCGGCGCATGGAGTTAAGTCGGGCCTGTCCCTCCACAGGGGGCATATTCAAAAATAGTCAAAAAAATAGTCGTGGGATTATTTGTTCCATCATTTTCGAGCAGTTTGGGGTATTGTTCGACTGTGTTTTATTTTTTCTGCCCGACCTAAGCATAGAGGCAGGCAGTTGGGCGAGGAACGGGTGGGAAGAGACGTGCGGACACATAAGCGTAAGGAGAGGCCATTTGCGGGAGGAGAGCACGTCGTTTTTTGTTTTAGTGGGCGTTATTGGGTCGCTGCAGTCGCCATGGATTCATCCGCCCTCGACAGGAGGGCGATTGCGAGGGGGCGATAACAGAGAGAGAGAGAGAGAGAGACTGAGAGACAGAGACAGAGAGAGAGAGAGAAAGACCAAGAGAGAGAGAGAGAGATCGAAAGAGGGGCCGTTTTGGACCAGATCTTGGCGTACCTCGACGGGCTCCCAGCCTGGCCAGGAGGCCGTACATGACACCAGGGTTTGGTTCAAACATTGTTCGCAGAGGTTTGGCGATGGTGTAGGCTTTGCCACCCCGGCTGAGAGAAAGAGAGAGAGAGAGAGAGAGATAGCGACATTAAGAAAGGAAATAGAGAGATAGGGGGATTGTTACAGGTAAGAGAGAGGGTGAGGGGAAGAGAGAGAGAGAGAGAGAGAAAAAAACAAACAAACCATATTTTTATATTGTTATATATGTATATTTATATGTATATATGTATATATGTATATTATATATATATATATATATATAATATATATATATCGGAGTAGGCCTTAGGGGGGGGGGGGGCCGGCCGCTGCCTGTACCCCCCATGGGTCCCCCCCGGGTCCCAGGGCTCCCGAGACGGCCCGGGCCCGCCCCGAAACAAGCCACGACAGGCTAAGGGCCCCAAGAGGGCCCACGACGGTCCCAAGAGGTTCCGAAGACGCCCAAGATGCCCTCAAGACGGCCGACGAGGACTCCAACGCGCTCCTTGACGGACTCAAGAAGCTCCCCAAGAGGGCCCTGGGAGGAAAAAACATTAATTATCCTATGGTGTTTGAAGCATTGTGGCGTTTTCGTTTTTCCCGCTTCCCAGCTCTCCCTCACGGCCTCGGAGGACCTTCAGATCAATCCAAGACGGCCCACGAGGCCCTGGAGAGGGCCCCAAGACGGCCCAGGAGGCTCCCCAGACAGCCCACGTGTGGCCCAAGAGGGGGCCCATATTTTAAGGTCTCTGGCCCTAGAGGCCCACAGTAGGCCCCTGGAGGCCACCAAGAGGCTCCTACGAAGCCCCGTGAGACCTCCAAGAGGCCCCCAGGAAGCCCCAAGAGGCCTCCAAGGGACCCCCAGGGAACGCCCAAGAGGCCCCCCAACACACCCCAACAAATCATGCCCCCAGAAAGCCTTCGGGGACATGGTCTCCAGAGGCTTCGAAGTACAATCGCGCTACCGGAGAGCTGTTTGGGAAGTTGATTGGGAACATGATTGATCGCCTTCTCGCGGCTCTCCGCGGATCGTTGGCTCTCCGCGGATCGTTTCGCACAAAGTTGCCCCAAGTGCCCTCTTGAACCAACGACGACGAAACGACGAATATGAGGACGACGACGACGACGACGACGACGACGACGACGACGACGACGACGACGACGACGACGACGACGACGACGACGACGACGACGACGACGGCGCGCCCCAAGAGGCGACGACGACATTAAGACGACGACGACGGCAACGTCCCAACAGGCTTCCCAAGACGTCCCCAAAACCCATGTACCCAGAGGGCCTTCTGGGAACCCGATTCATCAGGCCTCCGCCCTACGCAACCATCTTCCCAGAAAGCCTCCCGGAATGCGGATTGACATGCATGGATTTCTCACTGCCCATTAAGCGTTCAGCGTTATGGGCACTTCTTCATTACCCGTTCAAACCATCTGTGGTCCACTATTTCAGTGGAGCAATGAGCTCGCCAAGGCCTGGGGCCTGCTAGCACTTGAGCGCGCGCGAAGCGCGCGCGATGGTTCTAGGCTGTAACTATAAAAACAAGGAAACCAAACCCATCACACGGAAGACACGAACGGTATCGGTGTGACTAGAGTTGGAGATAGGATAGCGCACGGCTAGGGGTGGGCGGAGCGCTCTATCAGTATCGGCAGAGGCAGGTACGAAATATTGAGAAGAGGAGAGAGCAAGCTAGGTGCGCTCGCACCATATCCTTCCCCCATCCCACCCATCCCTTCACATTGCGTTTGTGATTTTGTATCCGCCAACGCGTGTCATCGCGGATTTGGAATTCCCAGGAATAACCCACCGTGTTATGCGCAATCGGTTCAGGGGAGCTGCGTGCACAGGCGGTCCGTTTCGGATCGCCAGTTCGGTTCGGCCGCGCACTGTTGGGGCTCGCAGGTGCGGGCCGCCCCCCCTTGTTCGGCCGGCTCGGTTCGAGAAGTCAACAGTTCACGTCCGCCAGTTCGGATTGGGCGTTGCACAATTTGTGAGACAATGAGGCCACATGTGTTGCAACGTTCCTCTGGTGCGCCTTTAGGAGAGCTCCAAGCGACATCAGAAGGCGGGAGGGTGCCCAAGACGGCCCCACCCGCCCCGCAGTTTCTTATATGAGAAAGAGCGTGTTCTACCGCTGCTGGCGGAAAACCGGGGGGGGGGGTCACTACCGGTTCGAACCCCACCCCCCCCCCCTCCCTTCTGAAAACCGGGGGAATCACTACTGGTTCGAGCCCCTCCCCCCCCCCCCAGTTCATCATGAAAAGGGGGGGGGTCACTATCGGTTCGAACCCCCCCCCCCCTCCTCGAAAACCGGGGGGGGTCACTACCGGTTCGAACCCCCCCCCCTCGAAAAACCAAGTGGGGTTGCGGACAGTGGTGGGGACGGTGTTGGTGGGGACAGTGGCGAGGGGACAGCGGGACAGTGGTGGGGACAGTGGGACAGTGGGACAGTGGGTGGTGGGGACGGTAGTGGTGGGGACAGTGGTGGGGATAATGGCGGGAACGGGGGGGACAGTGGACAGTGGTGGGGACGGTGGTGGTGGGGACAGTGGTGTGGGGACAGTGGGAATGAGGTGGAAACAGTGGGACAGTGGAGGGTACAATGGTAGTGAGGACAGTGGTGAAGGCGGTGCGGAGGCGGTGGGACAATGGGACAGAGGTACAGCGGGGACAGTGGTGGGGACAGTGGGGACAGTGGTGGGAACAATGGGACAGCTCAGTGGGACAGCGGAGGAGTCAGTGGGATAGTGGGGACAGTGGGGATAGTCGGGCAGTGGTTGGGTCCGTGGAGAAAGTGGGGAGAGTGGAACCGTGGTGGGAACAGTGGTGGGAACAGTGGGGACATTGCGACAGTGGTGGGGGCACTGATGGGGACAGTGGGGACGGTGGTGGAACCAGTGGGGACAGCGGTGGTGAGGACAGTGGTGCTGGGAACAACAGTGGGGGATGTGATGCGGACGGTGGTAGGGACCGGGAGTCGTTTGCTGGCGGTGCGTGGGGGCAGGGGGGTCGAACCGGTTTTCGAGAAGGGGGGGGGGAGAGGTTAGGGGATGGGGGGGTTTTGCCGGGAGGGGGGGGGGTTCAGCAGGGGGGGGGGATTTTTGGAGGGGGGGGGGGCGCCCCCCGGGTTCCGGAGGAAAAGGCAGGCAATTTTCCACAGTAGAGCGGCGGTGGATCACGCTCTCTCTCTCTCTCTCTCTCTCTCTTTTTTTTCTCTCTCTCTCTCTCTCTCTCTCTCTCTCTCTCTCTCTCTCTTATATGAGATCACGGGCGTCTGGGTCACCAGGCCCAGGGGGCGCAGACGTTTCCCAAATTCCCCCACCCAGCCCGCAACCCTTTTTAGCCACAGCTTAGTGCCTGATTTGTTTGCTTGCGAGAGTTATTTCGGCATTGAGAGGCTTCGACATAGCCCACGGGCCCGCCAAGACGCCCCAGGCGAGCCCCAAGCGCCTAAATATGATTCCAGGACCCAACGAAGTACACCGCAAGATGCTTCGAGAGAAGCCCAAATCTGGTTCAAAAGCAGTTTGTTCATGATTGCTGTGATTCATTTCGCGTCGCGGGGTGCACCTCCGGAATTGCGGAGAGCGCGGGGGTTTGGCACGTCTTGGGTTTTTGTTGTTGGAACTTTCTTGAAGGTGTTGGGGGTCTACTGGAGCCTTGCGGCTTTTGTTGGGGATCATGTTGCTGTTTCTTTGGCGCTTGCGGGCGTCTCCGGAGGGGGATGGGTCTGGGTCGTTTCTCACAATATGGTTGGAGTATCAAATTGTCTCCGTCCGTCGCGGGCGTCCTCATCGTGTTTCTTTGGTTGTCTTGGGATGTAGTACATGATTGCTCTTGGGATTTTCCAGGGGCCTGTGGATCGATGGGGACACGGAGGACAGCAGTTGGGTTTTGGACGTTGCAAGGGGTATTGCTTGAGGGGCCGTGGGTGTGAATCGGAATTTGTTTCCTTTGTTCTGGTTATTTGACGCTTACGTCCGAGGCCTGCGGAGCCCGTTTGGCTGTACTCTTCTGGGTGTTTCTTGAGGCGCGCTCCATATCCAAAACCATCCTGGTTTTTAATCGTACAAGTTTCTCGAACTACGTGCAGCCGTAGCAAAGAGAGGGCCCCCGAGAGCCAGAGCGCCATGGATCCAGGGTTCGGAAGTGGTCAGATGCGACCGGAGGCTGTTTGTGCGCCCGAATCTGTGATGCGGCCAGGGCTCACAAACAATTGGCCCATGTGCTCGCTTGGTGGCATGCATTCGAGTCTCTGTTCGATTGGCGAAGAATTTGAGGGCGTGACGAATTGGGGCGGTTGTCATTGTCAAGGCTGCTAGCATAGGCGACCTCGCTTATGAGTTCAGCGCGTGTTGTCTTGTACTCCCTGTTTTTTTCCTGGCCCCTTCCGCTTTCGCGCTCGTCAGATAAAGTCCTTTGTGCCTGGATTTCCGGGCCCTGGATTCCGCGCGTGAGTTTCGAAGGGCTTCGGCCGTCCTTTCTCGGAGTGCATTTC